CCTCGAGCGGTACCGTGTTCCTGTGTCCAGCCTCCCTCCGTCCGCTGCCCCAGGCGGACCCCCGGGCAACGCCGGCTCCTTGTCGGCGGCTGCCCTTTCTCCATCCGCGGCCGCCCGTGGTCAGTCGGCTGCCTCCGGGTATCGCGTCTAAGGGATTTTATTCCTCCTTCATGCTCCTGCTGCTTGTTGCTTGATTGCCTGACCCTTAGGCTGCTTGTCTGCGCGGCTTCGCGCTTGGGCTGGCGGTGCCGGGTCTGCTGGTTCTTTTCGGGCTTGTGTTTTGTGTGTGATTGTGCAGCTTCTCGCTGTGCGCTGTGTGCCTGGAGGTTTAGCTTGATCCTGCTTTGTTTTGCTTGAGGCACTTTTTACCTTCTGCCAGTAAATCCACTATTCCTCCTGCTCTCTCTTCCCATCATGGCAGGCAGATAGCGCTTGAAAAGAGCTTTCCATTCACCCTTCAAGAAACGTCGGCACTGGCGCTTGATAATAGCGTCCTTGGTAGTAGGACCATTGGCAGAGTTGGGTACGGGAAGCAGTAAGGCGGGAAGGTGCTCAAAGAGCAGAACAAGGGTCTGATAGCTGGACGAGGAAGGATCATATCGATCGATGAATTGCAGCAAAGACACAAGACAAGTCAGCCAAAGCTCTGCAGTCTCACCAAACAGGTGAGACGCAGTGACATGAGGACGAAAGCGCTCATGAATATAGAGGAAGACTCGGAGGTTGGACATCAACCACTGCAAGCCCTTCGGCCAATCTGAGGTCGCCATAGGTGGAACCGGGGGCACATCCGTAGCAGAATCAGGGTCGGCATCAGCAAGGTCAGGTTGATCATCCTCGTCAGGCAGGACATTCGCACTGTCCCTCACCTCTGCGAGCGAGCGCCAAAGACAGTTGGCGATTCATCAGTTCACTGCGGGTGACCTTCATCGGGCGGTACGGACACTACTGAGCTCCGGCATCTACAGGGCTGAATCTTTCGCTGATCTTCTTGCTGAAGCACAAGAGAAGTTCCCTGATGGTGCGTCGCCTGCCTTTGGAAGTGCTTCCGCGGATCATCTCACCCAGCAAGCGCTTGCAGTACTGCAGGTGGATTTGACTGACATCCTCGACACCACTAGCCTGATCCAGGCAATCAAGCGCTACAGCTCCTTTGCGGGGACCGATGACCAAGGGTGGAGGATTCGGCAACACCTGTCACCCCTTTCTAGTCATCCTGCAGCTTTGAAGCTCTACTGCAAACATATCCTCCAAGGGGTCCTTCTTGGCCGGATGCCGGATCTTCTTATTCCTGCCCTGTCAGCCATTCGTCGAGGAGGCAGATTTATTCCCCTCTCCAAGGGAGCTGATAAACCTGGTCTCCGGCCAATTGTCATCGGTTCTGCACACCGTCGACTCGCGACGAAGCTTGCTTTGGCAGCGATTCGCTCATTTCTTGACCAGCACTTCCTCTCGTCTCACCCTCGAGCGATTCAGTTCGGACTCGATCGAGACGGCTGTCTGAAGTTCTCGCAAACCGCGTCAGCGCTCCTGCCCCTTCACGCTCGCGGTGATGATGAGGATGTTGCCAACCCCACAGTGCTGGTGAGTTTGGATGCAAAGAACGCCTTCAACTCCCTCGACCGCCAGGCTCTCTTCGATGCAATCGAGGGACGTGCGAGTCGCGACTACTTTGATGGGAGCATCACTGAAGGCGCAAGCTTGCCCTCTTGCGAGCACGCGATACCCGGAGGCAGCCGACTGACCACTGTCAGTCGAGACGTCCGCTGCCGCCACAAAGCGGGCGCCGCATATTGGGATTCAGGGGGCTGCACCGGTATATGAAATTCCAGGATTACTGATTAGCGCTTTCAATGACCGGTACTTTTGACTGCTCATATACGGGTACTTACCCTCGCACAGAAGCACCCTTTTACCCCCATTATCATCTAGTAATAGGGGGTGGGGTATTTGAATTGTCATGGGCGGTAACCTTCAAGACCACCCCACTCCCCTCGAAACTTTTAACAGACGACATGTTTTAAGGCTGCGAAAACGTTTTAGAAGGATACGGATAATCATAAAATAAATATAAATTGGAAACACAGTAGAAAAGACTTAGAAATTCAATACTAAGGTTCGAAAATATTTTGTGCCTGATTCAAATTCATTGTGTACTGTGTTTCTGGGTTTAGTACAAGAATGAAGTCACCGGGTCCTTTTCTGCTAGTGCTTTCACAAATAGGGGGTAGGGTAGTCCCCCCTGTTCCCCACCCATCCCTATTTCAGGGATTTGAATTTTTTCCACAGGCCAGTCGCCACGGCACAAGTTGAGAGACATGTCAGTGGGATCTTGAAATTTGGCCTGGCATTTTGAACATTAAAACATTGATTAACCATGTCAGGACCAAATCTATCAAATCCGTCATCCCCACCTTTGCAAGGAAGTTCGTGCAGACGTCGCAAACAAACGATCACCCTGGAAGACGATGAATTGCTCACCTGGGAGTCTCTGGCAAGTCGAGCGGGCTTCCTCTATAAACAAGGAAAATGGCAAGGACAACCTAATGTCAATGCTTGCCTGAAGGCCATAGGTTTGAAAAGAGATTATTTGTATAATTCAAATCTTTGTAACACCTGAGATGCAGGTAGATCTCCTGAGTTGTTGCTTCGAATCTTACAAGAGTATGAGGAGCAGAGAGGTTTTAGTCATCATGTGGATGAAGCCATACGCGAAGGGATTATTTCCGACTCTGATGAACCAATTCCGGCTTGTTACGATTCTATCAAAGATCCAAAAGTGAAAACAGCGATTCTGAAGAAGATCCAGGGTGACACTGATGAGGACCTTCTAGATGTGGTCACGAAGAAGGTAGATCGGCACTTTGCGTCACACAAGGCCAATTGTCGAGTGAAATGGGGACATTTTGCTGATCTATTTCACCACCAGTGTGAGGATGACTCTGGACAGGAAGCGGCCGAGGGGCCTCGAAAGCAGAAGAAGTGCAAAACTTCGAAATACGATAGCCTTACGTTCTTTGAAGGCATTCTGAGCAGTCAAGCCTTCAAGACAGTCATAAAAAATGAACTTGCCACGAATAAGGAGCTTCAAAACTGCCTGAAACCTGCGGTCAGGCAAATGATGCCGAGCGCGCGAGAGGCAGCAGTTGCCCTGACAGCAAACGGTATAACGAAATCGCAGTACCAAGGATTCTGTCGTGCAAACGATAGCATGGCTGGCTGCTTTATTCCAATGCCAAAAATATCACGGGTTAGAGTACAAGAGAAGCATGCGATGTGCGAAAGATTCAAACTGTTCTGTTTGCCAGATGGGACACATTGTCTCGGCCTCCTTCAACTTGTCGAAGAGTGGATTGATATCTTCAAACTTCACGGGAAGCATCGCCTTGTTATCACGATCAACTATGACTGTGCAACAATGACTTTCTCGGCTGGCAATCCTCAGAAGGCAACTGAAGTCACCATTTCCATTTTCCCTTACGGCGTAGACTGTTCGAAGAAAGAATGGAAATTCTGGCAAAAGCTTGTCCGAAGTTCATCATGCCTTATGACGATGTCCTACATTCCATATGGAGACAGTCCTGAGGTTTTTCAGAGGACTGTGAGAGCTGCATATGATCAAGTTATTGATCTCTTGAAGGAGAAAGGTATTCACGTCTACAACAATCAAGCAGTCGGGGGACTTCAAAAGACTTTAGCAGGTGGTAAGCCTGACAAGATTATCCAAGTGGAGTTCGTCAAGAGATCTGATTTGCAAGGGCAATGGAATATGTACGGCATTGGTGGAATGTCCGACAATGAGGGTAAGTTCTGTCTCCACTGTAACGAACTCCTAAAAGATCACAAGGCTGGCAAATATTTCGAAATCGAAACAATCGTTTGCGACGAAACTCTGTCCCAAGTGTGTGAAAGACTAGTCATGTCTACCGAGGGCATCAAGAAATTAAACAGAATGTTGAAAAGTCCCGATGCTTTCCAACGAATGTTCGATACCTCGGAAGGAGAATTCCAAGAGTTATTAGCTGAAGAAAATCAGACTCGACTGCAAAATTATCTGCAAGACCCAGAATTGATCATGGAAATTGGAACAAAGATCCCAGTGATTCGTCTCATTGAAATGGACAGATGCAGCGGCGAAGCAGCTTGTTGCTCGTTTCATGCTTTCATAAGAACGACGAACATGATTATTGGTTGCCTCCAAGAGAAAGCGGCGCAGATGAGAAAGGTCGCGACAGTCAACCTTCGATTACAAGAGCAAGGAGTGAATGTGCAATTCACTGAGAAGTCTCATAATAGAAAATTGAACGGGGAACAATGTGCCCGATTCGTCAAAAATGCCGCAGTGGTTATCAATACCCTTTACAGCGATCCTGCCTATGCAGATGACAGAGAACAATGGACTCAAGTAATGCAAGAATGGGACTTGCTAAGCAGCATGCTGAAGTGTCAAGAAATTGAAAAAATTGAAAACCTGAATTTTGAAATCGGTTTGACCGTTCCAGTAAGATTGAGAAATCTCATGCTCAACATTATCGATCTGGTTGGAGATCCTACTTTGATGCAGTCATTCTACTTCCACTCGCTCCTTGTTGGGCACATTGGCCAACAATTCTACGACCGTTTGGTACAATATGGGATCCCTCTTGGATTACTGAACATTAGTAACGTCGAGAATCGCCACAGACATTTTGGAAGACCTTCATATCTTCAAGTCCAACCAGAGGTGAATGCATTCGTCTCAAAGAAACGTCGCCGTGAAGGAGAACATGAACCTTTGATGGAGTCGCGCCAAGCAGCCTGGTCTTACTACGCCTTAGCATCGCTGAGCATGGTAAGTTGGTTCAATTTAGAACGCAAAGCAAAACAATTACAAGTGGTTTTGAATAGTACATAAATGAAAATTTTATTTCTGTGCTATCTTTGGCGCGGATGAGCTTGCCACGACTCTTGAAATGGACTTGGTAAGCCGGCCGCTATAAACAAACTATTTGAGAGGAGGAAACCTCCACATTTCTTTTCCAGTCCAGCCGTAACGATAGATCTTAGAAAATCTGAAAATGAGCAACCCAGCCTCATTAGCAGTTTTCTGTCTTCGTAAGCTGATTGTCACAGGCCCCTCCACGTAAATACTACCAGTCCCATTTGGCAACCGTAGTTGTGAATCATGAAAGGGTATAGTCAAGTGCTTTTGCAAAACAGAGGTTCTTAGATATGTCTCAGGAATTACCCAATAGCATGTTACCAGGCTACTTTTGCTAACAGTGGAACACTTAATTGCCTCTGCTTCAAGATTGGGATCGGTTTGCATAATCTCAGAAAAAAGGAACAGCATTGCACGCATATCCTGTATCTCCACATTGAATCTCAAGGGAGCTTCTTTTGCTGCAGCAAGACAACGAGTCTTTGGTTTTCCTCTCAGCTGCAGCCACTTGTTCAAACTGCGTCTGATCGATTCCAATTCCCAGTGAAGTTCAATGGTATTTGTAAGTTGAAGCAGAAGAGTGACATCGACAAAGTTTTTCAGTTGCTGGGGTAAAACCGTCATGGTATTGAAGTAAGAAAATTGACATTCTTGACTTTTGCGTCCTGGCATTCCGAAGTACAACCACCCAACGATCAGTAAGCTATTGCACCGCATAGTCCTTACAGAGAATTGGGCATAGTTCAGCAATACAGTTTCCTGAATGTCTTGCAATGGAACTTGGTCCGTGTAGATGCTCTGCAAGCACTCATGATCATCAAGGCTAGAGATGAATTGCGTCAAGCGAGCTCCACTCAAGACATTGGTTTGTACTTGTCTCAATACATCCTTGGTGTAAAGAATGTAAACATCTACATGACTCTCGGTTACTTTTCGTATCATACCATGCCGGAGTTGTTTGTTGACGTCCAAGAACGAGATTCCCATACTTGGTTTTAGAAATTCGCGCTTTTGCGATTCTCTACTACCACAAAGCACAAGTTGAGGAGCGTCAGTGTCTTCCTGAAATAACATCCGAGAGAAGAAAAAAGGGATTTTGATCATTTGAGGTACACAATCTCTCTCAAGCTTCCGAGTTTCCCCGTCATCATCCATCACTAGCGTTACCCTTCTG